ATATGTCAACCTAACATCATCACGTATTATCTTTTAGGGAAATATAAGTCGCCTCTCTCACATGCCCGATGACACTGACGAACAAGCCCGCTGGAATGGCAACTCTACCACCCAGATGTAACGAATTCTGTGATCTGCTTTCCCATTATCTCCTTCCCCAGGTCCCCTTTTCAGGGGTTGCGGTGATTTTCTCTGTCATTTCGATTCTTCCCACTCCTACTGTTGTCAGCAGTAAGTTGGCTTCATTGCACCGCACTTCGGCGAGGACTTCAAGTCGGGGTACTTAAAGTCGGAGCGCTGCCGAGTTTGGTTATAGTCCTTTGACATTTACGCCTTGACCAAGACCTATTTATCTTGGCTGACAATGCATTGTTTTCTTTTAGTGTTGGCAGTGCTTACCAAGCCCTTGTTGCTGTAGTTGTGGTGCGGTTTTCTTGGCTGTAACATACCCCAATATTAAACATATTCTAACGTTCTCTTCCGATCTATTTTACACTAGTGATTATCACGGCCATCTAGGCAATTAGGAAGATCCTAACCACTACAACCCCCAGGCCCGGTTCCGAATAGATGGAGAAATGAGAAACTAGTTGGTAAGAACTAGAACTATTGGAGAAAAAAATGGTAGGCGAACGAGGGCATATCCAGCACCGCAACAGCGGTGTCCCGAGTGAAATTTAGGGATTCGTTACATTGCCTTGAGCATGAGCATGACCGAATCGGCTTTGAACATGATTGGCCTGTTTGGGAACCTAGATTGGCTGAGAGCTCGACAGTCTCTGATGCGCGAGCGCAAGTACTCATAGTGTTGCAACAGGCGCCCAGCTTTGGGTCACTATAACATGATTGATTTTTTTAACGGGTTGGCGGGTAGGCACTGCAGTCATTCTTTCGCTCCGACTACCTCCTCTTAATATTTTAGAATGTAACGGTCTCTATGAGGTCGCATTGCGACGCTGGGACTTAACTGCTTCTTACCTGCTGCCGGCAACGCTAAACCAGTGTTTACTGTGGATACTGGCGATTGCCAAAAAGGCAAGTGTCTTTAAATGTCTTAAGTGTAAGATCAGGAAGCAGCTCGCTATTTTACGCAGTAGACGCATTATGATATCTATAGGTTGTTACGTCAACTTCCTATTTCTGTTAAGTAACGTAGACATTAAAAGATTATCTAGCTTTTATAAGTTTTCTCCTAGTGTAAGCCCACTTTCTATGCACCACGGCGTTTAAA